GTCATTATCAATACTAGCCCTGGTCCCCAGAATCCAGGGTAGGGATGGTGGGGGGCAGAGCTGGCTGCACTTCCCCTGATGATGAACTGGGCTGTATGTCCAGGGCAAAGCCACAGAGATGAAATATAAGTTTTTCAAATCTTTGTCCAAGTTTTACTTGACCCAAGCTGTTTCCTTTCATGCATCTGCCCTGGATTTACAGGAGGCAGAGACTGTCTCCTGAAGAAGCCCACAGGGAGGGTGGAATTGTGAGTGGAATGATGTCCTCCCTGCTAAAGGGCTATGTAAGAAAGAGGCACATAGTGCATATCAGGGATATGTGTTGAGTGGCAGTGATCTTTGCTGTGATGGCATCTAGCATCACTAACTAGTCCTTCATGTGGTGAAAAACAGGAAATAACTCTACATGGGACATAAGGGGAGCAGATGGGGAACCCATATCAAAAATAAGGTGCATTCCACCTAGTCCCTGGGTATGAAAGTCACCTGTAGCTCTCAGTGAGAAGGTACTTGAGTGACAGTCACCGAGGTTCATGGTGTTGTCCTTCTGCACCTGCAGTAAGTTGCCTGAGTACATCATAAAATCCTATTGTATACATTTAACATGCTTCCATAAACATTTTCTTTTGTATTTAAATAAATTTAATTAAAGTAAAGTCTAAATTATGTTATAAAAACAACAGATTGTTTTCCCACTGAGAATTATTTGACAGTAAGTCAAAGTACTAATCATCTACCCCCATAAGAAACATAATTTCGGTAATATTTCTGTTTCTTTGGCCTGACCTGGGACACCAAGGAAAACTGGGCCTGTGCTGAGTGACTGAGAAGAGCCCGCCCTGCAGCTGTATCCAGCCTGCCCAGCCCTGCTGATTTGCATGTGCACACAGCACAGCCCACAGCCCTGAGGTCTTCTTAAGAGGCTGCTCACACTCTGTGCAGGAGTCAGTGCCAGTCAGCGCACAGCATAGACATGAGGGCCCATGCTCGGCTCCTAGGGCTCCTGCTGCTCTGCCTCCCAGGTAAGGAGGGACAGTGCTGAGGATTTGCTTTGCCCTGTGTGGTCAGTGTTACCTGGCTCTTCAGGGAAGTCCCTTTAAAACACATTTAATAGTGTGAATGTTTGCTTTTGTATTTTCAATGTTAGGTACTAGATGTGACACCACAATGACCCAGTCTCCATCCTCCCTGTCTAAATCTCAAGGAGACAGAGTGGCGATCTCCTGCAAGGCAAGCCAGAGCATAGGTACTGCTTTAGCCTGGTATCAACAGAAAGCAGGGCAAACCCCTAAGCTACTCATTTATTGGGCAACCAGTTTACCACCTGGAGTACCCTCGAGGTTCAGTGGCAGTGGATCTGGGATAGATTTCACTCTCACCATCAGCAGCCTGGAGCCTGAAGATGCCGCCACTTATTACTGTCAACTAGATTATAATTACCATCCCACAGTGACACAGGCCATGATGGAAACCTCCCAGGGAGCAGAAGTGTGAGGCTGGGCTGCCCCAACTGCTCCTCCTGCTGCTTCCACCTGCTGAGGGCACTGCTCAGAGGCAGCCAGGCTCTGAGGTCACTGGGGCATTTGTTGGAAGGGCCAGAGAGGCTCCTCTTTGGCCTTACTCATTTTCTTCCTCCTCAGCTTCAGAAACGCAGGCCTGACAATGTGTCTACTGATGGGATTAGGTGCATATCAGTGCACATTCCTGGGGTGGGGGTGGGGTTATGGCATCAGACACAGAGTTTCACAGTTTGAAGAATGCATTTCTATTTTCCCATATTTATTGGATTAAACACTCATAATATCCTGGATATGATTAATTTAGAATGGTAGAAGAGGCTGTCCCTTCCTCCACAATCATCTGTGGGCTCAACATGGTCCCATGAAGCTAATGGATGGACTGACCTGAGATGCAGCCAGAACCGAGGACTTCAGGCCAGTTCTCTGTGCAACCATCACCTGTGTTCTCCTGACACATCCCAATGGTTCTGCGATGCCCAAGGCAAAGCACTGGAGACACGAGTCTCTCTGAAATGATGGGGTATTTGGAACTTTTACACATCTTTCTCTGAGCAGCACCGTATCCTGGAACAAGCTCCTGCAAGGAGCAGTAGTGAGGCTCCACAGCAGCAGGAATCTGTCCAGGAGACATGGTGTTGTTGTAAAGTAATTTGGGGAAGGAAATATCAGGGCACATTGCTGGAAACTGCACTTCAAAGAAGATCCTAATTGGGAAAGAATAGGGATGAGGATGAGGTTCCTGGAGTTTGGTCTTTTCATTCATGGGTACAAGGGTGACCAGGATCAAGGTGCTCCACATCCAGGCAGAGAAAGTGCAATACCAGCAGGTTGCCCTGTGACCAGGGCTGAAGCTTTGGATACCTGCAGATCAGACTTACATTGCTCAACCACAGTGTCCTCATGGCCCCAAGACAGGATGGACAGGCTCTAGCTCCCCCATGTCTCAGTGACTGAGGAGTAAAGGAGAAATACTGCATTTGGTTATATGAATACTGCTGATGATATTCAGAATCAAATGGGTAGAAATCCTCTGCCTTTTAGCCACCTTTTTTTTTGTCTCACAATCAAGGGTTTACCTTGAGTCTTGGATAAGAATTTGGTCTAGGACTTTTGCATAAGCAGGAATTATTAAGATTATGGGGACTCTTGCAGGGAGATTAAATGTATTTTTCATGGTGAGATGGACATGAGTTTCAGGGGTACAAGGCATAATGCTATTCTTTGAATATAAGGTGGCCTCAAAACTCATTTGGTGGATTTTTAATTAAATGGACTAACTGGGTGGAAAATCTGGGCATACTGGGCATTCCTGTAAGAAGTTAGGCCACATGTCCTTGAGAAGTCTACCTCATCCCTGTGGCTTCTTAGGAACCATGAGATGAGCAGCTTCTCTTCTCCATGCCCCTTTGCCATGTGCCTCAATTTGGACCAGAGGAATGTAATCAAATCAGACAACCATGAACTGAACTGAACCTCTGAAGGTATGAGCCCAAACCAACATGTCCTCAAAAGAAAGAAAGAAAAGTGAAAAATGTTTAACACTTCCATGAGTGTTATCCAGTCCAAGCCTCAAACCTCATTCAGCTAACTCAGGTACTGAGCTCCCTCCTTTGGCCATGTCCATAGGTCCACATCCCCACTCACCCCAACCCAGGCTTCCTCTCTCGGAAGGCCTCCAACACCAGCTGCCCAAAAGCTCAACAAGCTTCCACACTAACAAGGTTGGAAGTTGCTTTAGTCAGCTTTTTTCACTTCTGGGGCCAGGAATCTGACAGGAACAATAAAATACAAGTTTATTTGGGGCTCACTGTTCCAAGGACAAAGTTAATAGACAGCCAACTGCATTGCTCTGGGCCCCAGCTGAGGCAGAACATCCTGGAAGAAAGGTGACCGGAGAAATACCACTTAGGACATGGCACCAGGAAGCCAAGAGAGAGGCACTGCACATAAGGGGCAAAATCTATCACTCAAAGGCATGTCCCCAATGACCAGCCTCCAGCCACCACTTGCCTGCCTACAGTAACCCTCTAGTTAATCTTCAGGGGATTAATGCACTGATTAGGGATAAGATGACAACTCATAATCTGATTATCTCATCTCTAAACACCCTTGCATTGCTCACACATGAGTTTTTGAGGAGCATTTTATATCCACATCATAACATTGTGCCCCTGACCCCCCCAGGTGGACTCATACCCACCTCACAATGTGAAATAAATTTAGGCCATTGCAGGAGATTGCATACTTTTAACACTTCCTGGGTTGCCTAAGTCCAAATTCAATGTAAACTCTCAGTGTGAACCCCTGTACAAATCAAAATCATGTTACATGTATCCAATATATAAAATCATCAAATAAGGATTTCCATTCCAAAATTTAAAAAAGGAAGAAAAATTTAAAAAGAAAGAAAGTCAGAGAGTCATATAAGAAGGAACGGGACCTGTATACCTATATCCAGCTGGGAAAATTAGTCCTGTAGCCCCACATCCAGCCCCTGGGGCACATGACAATCTGATATTCTCTCCAAAGGGCTGTGGAGATCTACAGATGACTTTGTGGGTGTAACCCACATGCCTTTTTTCTGGTCTTGTTTCTGCTTGATCCTGCAGCTTTTCTCAGCAGATGTTCTGTGTTACTGTGATCTCTCAGTCTCAGGGATCTCCAATGGACCTTCCAATTCCTTCCACTTTTCCAAACATTGCCCTCTCAGAGGCACCCCACAGGGACTCTGACCTTGGCACACTTGGTCTGGCCTCCCAGGACTTCCTTTGAAATCAGGTGGAAGCTTCCACAAACCCCTTAGCTCATTCATCCTGCATTTCTGTAGAACCAGTACTGTCATGTCACAGGACAATATTGATCAGGGTCACTCTAAATGAATTTGGAGAATAAAGACACAGACACAGAAAGTACCTTTTCTTTGGGTTCAATGACTGGTCTTCAGCAGCAGCTCCCACAAGGGGGCAAGAAGGCAAGAAAGAGAGCTGGGAGGAGATGCTGAACTCTTGTATTGGGGAGAAACCATGCAAATGAGGCAAGGAGTCAGGTTTACAAAGGAACAGGTGAATGTAACTGAACCCCCATGGGTGATGCCTACACCTGGAGCCATGCCTCATTATCTCAGTGCTCAACACCCAGGTTACTGCAACCTGACACTGCCAAGCCAGACTGAAGCCAATAATTGGTCAGAACCTGGTGCATTGAGACTTAAAGACATCTGCATCCAGGCAGCTCCCGACCCAGCACTACTGGGTTGATGCCAAAGTCTGCCACCCTCTTGAAGAGTAACCAAGTCTCCAGGAGCCATGGCAGAGGTGGTTTCTGAGGTCTGGGGAGGTGACATGGTGAAACAATTCCCTCCATCATCCCAACCCCCTATGCAAATTAATCTGATTTCTATATTCCAAAAAAAAAGCTGTATAGAAAATGTGTTTGACAGATACTCATTAAAATAATGATCAAAA